TTCAAAATATTGATACTACTAAAATTCCCACTATGCAGGATCTTGCGGATGTGATTATGATGTTGAGCATGAGACCCGCTGAAGTTACTACTCTTCGTATTATTCATTATGAAGAAGCCAAGCTTCGAGTCTCAAACTCACCTGATGAATCAAATCATCCGGAATGGTATAAACCTGGTTATTCTTGGTATTGTATAGGATATATTAAGAATAAGGGAGAAAAGAAGGCTAATCATGAGCCTCGACAATTTCTTTCCATGGAAAAAAATCCAGAACGTGCAAAAGAATTGCTTACTTGGATCCAAGATGCAATAGCAACCAGAAAGTTACGTGATCCTGTATATAGTGATAATGGAAAATGCAATATTAGAGCATTTAGCAAATTTTTAAATGCATATGGTATTACTGCCAAAAGATTGCGAAAAATAGGAAGTAAACATGCTTCTAGAGTTCATAAAGCAAAATCGAACTACTAATGACCCTTTGCAGTCTTCAGCATCTACACAATCGCCTATTCCGTCACCAATTAATGATGAGGATGATAGCACTGATTCTATAAATTTAGAACAGGAACAAAATTCTATCTCTCTCGAAGGTAATCCTAATAATATTTTGAATCATAAATCGACAGAAGAAAAGAAATTAGATGATTTTCTGAATCGAGTGACAAAAGAAAAGGTTAGTAATTTGATCAGAGATCGAAATCTGGAAAAGAAAATATTACAGAGTAATGAGGATCCCACTTCTGAGGATATTACAGCTGAGACTCAAAGTACCATTATTGCGGGCAATGAACCTACGTTCTCTTCCGAAATAGCAGAAGCTAGTGCAACAGTGCTAAAATTTTCCTATAATCAAAGAGTAGAACAAGGTTTAATACGTGAATTATCTGCATTTATTGGCGAGAAAAGTCTTTCGAATTCTATATCTGACAAACGAATTACTGTAAATATGCCAGACAGGGATGATCTGTCTCCGGGTGAATCAGAGATTCGAAGCTTTGCTTCTTCTGCACCATATTTAGCTCACTTATTTGATAAGGCTAAACAAACCGGTCAGAAAGAAATTTTACGTTGGTATTATTACAGTGAGGAATTCGAAAAAAAGGTTATAGATATTAGTTCAAAAAACAATATTAATGATCAAATGGCAAAAACACAGATTTATGATGAAATGGGACCATATCTTCCTGGTGTTAAGAGAGAATATTTGCGTAAGATGACCCAAAAAGCTAAAAACATTTATACATTATTTAAAGGGATAGGGATAGATAAAATCAAACACATTACGTATAGCGCTGATGCAATTTCTAGACTAACAGTTGCACAAATTCAAAATATTATAAATCGTTTTCCAAAAAAGAATGCACACGTGATTGAACCATTTATCTCAAACGATTCAGAAAAATTACCGGAAACTGAGGTAAGTGCATTGCCTGAAAAGGTTTCATCGGAAATCCAGGTAAATACATCTAACAAATCCCGTCCTCCAATTTCTACTTTGCCTGATGATCCAGAAGAAAAACGAAAATGCGTTATTGAAATGGCGTTGGAGTGGTGTCCTTATTTATCATTGGATCATAGTAATGAATATAGCGATATTTATAATTTTAATAGTTCAGTACACTGTCCTATATGCAATAAAGACCATGAAAAAGATAATATAAGGAATAATATAAATGGACAATGGGGTAGTGGTGATTATGCCAATACAGAAACTTATCGTCTCAAATGTTGGGAGGCTTGTCAGAAATCAATCCAAATAGTAACTGTGAAAGCGTAGAATGATCTGGTATGGATATGGCACATAGTGCTGAATCTTTGATTCCTGATAATTACGTTTAATCGAGCGAAAATCAAAAGAACCAACCTGCTTAGCATGATTTCTCTGTAAAAAATTAAACATTTATCCAGTACATATGGATGAAAATCACGTGTGCATAAAGAATCTTTACGCCTATCACTTTGCTAGAAAAAATATTTGCGAAGAAATTCTGGGACAAGCACCCCCATCAGATGAACTTTTAAGGCAAGTTCTATCCCATCTTGAGAAGAGATTTAAGGGAATTCCACTGGCACCGATACTAATAGTCTAACTTCGCATTTCTGCTAACATAGAATCTATTTCCGCGATTTGGGCATCAAAAGGATTATAATGCACTTCCTTCGAAAGATTGTTATTCTTGGGCTGAGATTTAGGTTCGGGTTCAGTATTAGTATCAGGATTGGTATCGGAATCGGAAGAAGTGTCACCCTCAGCATAATAAGTTCCAGAATCAAAACGGTCGATCTTATGTCTCATTGCAATTCTACAAAG